ATTCATCTTTTCTTAAAGCCTCTATCACCATGTCAATCCCCACTCTCTTCCCTTCTCTTTTTCTGTTTCTCTCTTTATCTCTTTCCCTTTCATAATGTTGTAAAAATATATATCTATATATATATATCCATATATATATATATATATATATATATATATAAATTTCATTATTTTATAATTTGTCGAAGCTCATTAGTTATTTTTGAGATGCAACGACAACTTTCTTCTTTTAGAGTAAAATCTCAAATATGGGTACCAGCATTCCACGTTAGATTCCTGGATATCCACATATTATCAACAAACAAAGAAAAAATATAGAGAAAAAGTGATTTAAAAAATAATATATTGAAAAGTATATTTGAAATCTCACTTAATAAGTTATTAATAAAAAGAAAAACATTGTTATGAATATGGAGAACATAATCACAATCATAAGACTTGCAAGAATTTATGAATAACTCATGTGCTTTACGAATATAATAAGAACATAAAATTATTTTTCTCAGTTTATGAAATATATGAGGTTAACATATGTAATTTGAGTTACTATTCAGTATTAGAGTGAATTAAATTATTTATTATATAATAGTAACAAAATATATTAAAAAAATTTATGAGACGTGAATGGAAACAAATACTAGAAAAAATGGAGAGGTAAGAAGAACAAAAATTATTTTATATGCTTATTGAGGATCTAACTTTTTATTTTTCTATTGCATTTCATTTTTATTTTTATAGTTATTAAGTATATCAATGAAAAGGATTAAGAATTGCATCTTTTCATTTATTCTCTTACCTTCGAATTCTATTTTAGTACTATTTTTTATCATAAACAAATTATTTTTTAATAGGCTAATAAATCCTTGAGTTATTGTTAGTCTCTATCTGAGTATTTTTCTTTTTGTCTCGAAGACAATTAATATTCATATTATTACAGTAAATAAGTTAAATTTAACATATCTAGTCCACTTAAATAATCTAAAATATATTTTAACATCTAATATATATCACTATAAAAGCATCCTACATCAATGTTTTATGCTGGAAATTTGCGATTAAAAACGTTGTCGTGCCATTTAAAACTAGACATTTTTTCTGTAATAAAAAATTTCCTAAATGTTAAGATTTAAAAAAAATGGAATCCTTCATAAATTAAAAGATTAATTATGTTTTCATCCCTGAAATTTGACATGAAATTACAATTTGTCTATGTTTAAAATTTTGATACATTTTAATCACTAAATTTTAAAAATAAATAAATATAATCTCTTTAATCTAATTATATTAATTTTTTATATATATAAAACACGTAAACATTAAAATGAGAAGATATAAATAACTCGAACACATAAAAAATATTAATATAAATGGATTAAAATGGTATATTCATTCGTTTTAAAGAGCTATACTAATACTAATTTAGTCTTTATTTTTTTGAATTTATTCAATGTGGTTTTTTTTGGTAAATAAAGTCTCTTT